ACGCATACACACGCACACGTATATATATATCAAATTGAAGTATCATTTAATACAATAAAATAATTTTACAATTATAATTTATTTCTATGGAACTTCGTTTTGATTTTCTTCTTTAATATTTACTTCATTAAAGTTATTGGTCGTCGCCATGTTTTTTTCTTCAATCGGATAAACACTCTCCGTAGATTTGACTTGATTGACTTGAATTTGACTATTGAAAATTGTCTTTTTCTTCTCTATATATGCATACGTATATAATTATATAAATATATGTTATTACATATTACATGTTCATGATAAAAATGTAAAGTTAAAAATGTAATCAATCCTCACCTTCGATAGAGATGATGTCATCATCGGTCTCATTTTTCTTTGGGTACTCGGGATTCAAGCGAGGTGATAACGAGCGTGGAGTACTTCCTTGTTGTACGCCAGATACTTTTTCTTGTGCTCTTTTTTTCTTGTTTCTGGAAAAAAAAAAAAAAGAAAAAAAATGGAAATATTCAGGTTAAAATCTTACATCTTCTTTTCTCTTTTTTGTTTTTTTCATTCTTTTTTTTTTCCCCTTTTATCTCAACGACCTGCTATACATATCCATCTCTGTGTCTTGATCGTAATATGGGACGAAAGTATATACCTAGATGATATTAAAAAATCATTTACTCATTTTTCGAAAGTTCGCAGACTAATTCCCTTTTTTTTTTCTTCTTCTTCTTCTTCTTCTTCTTCTTCTTCTTTTCCTTGTAAAGTTAGAAAAAAATATTCCTATATAAATTTACGAAATATTTATATATCTTAAAAAAAAAAAAAGTTATTTTCGAGAGAAGAAAAGTGTAATCGATTATTTTTAAGATCACTCAAGTAAACTCTTGAGTACGTTGCATGTCTTTAAAGAAGAAAATAAAAAGTGAATAAAAAAGTAAGGATATCGGTGTTGTCAATATAGCGTTGGTTTAGTTCAAAAAATGAAGAAGAAAAAAAAAAAGGAAAAAAAAAAAGAAACAAACAAACGAACAAATAAATAAATAAATATATAAATAAAAAAGAAGTAAGAGAGAACTGAAAGATGAATTGTCTTGAGAAACTATTAAAAGGAATTCTAAAAGATAAAAATAATGTTGCAATGATTATTTTTTTTTTTTTTTTTTTTTTTTTTTTTCTTTTTTCATCGATCATCTAACAACAGAGGTCGTCGACTTTAATCGTTGAGAAATTCGAACGATAATAATTCTTCTTTTTTTTTTTTTTTTTTTTTTTCTACTTCTTTAAGTTTTGGCTGCCTGCCAAGAAATATTCGCGAGCTATAGAAACTTTTCGTGAGAAGAATAATTAACGGGTTTACGAAGTAGGCATTAGATTAATTTATGCCGTGTTAGATCGATCTCTCTCTCTCTCTTTCTCTCTCTCTCTCTCTCTCTCTCTCTGTCTGTCTGTCTGTCTGTCTGTCTGTCTGTCTGTTTGTCGTTGGATCCCGAATTTTTCCTACTTTTTTCTTGCATTTATTTATTTTATTTCTTTCCCCTTTCCCTTTCATTTCCTCTTCCTCGATTCTAGCTCATGCTCGATTAGATCCACGCGTACAGATGCCAACGAATTCAACGGAGGATCGATATTCATGAATATTACAAGGAGAACGACTACTGAGCTACGTCGATGACGATGAGAAGCTCTTTTCAAGTCCCATATATTTCCGTGTCGTGTACAAAATAGCACTTTCGTTCTATAGAAATTTCATGTTTACAAGAGACTATTGGACGATTAAACTTTTAATAATGACGAATAAGTATTTGATTTGAAATTTATAATCTCGCCGATAATGCGAAGTCATAAATATCTTTTCTTTTTCTTCTACCCCCCTCCTACCCCCGTTTAAGATTAAGCATTTGATTTGAAATTTGTAATCTCGCCGATAATGCCAGATCATAAATATTCTTTTCTTTTTAAGATTAAGTTAACACGACGATAATTTAGCTTTTAAATATGCCTTATTATTATTATTATTATTATTATTATTATTATTGTTATTATGTTTGTTTTTGTTATCAATCAACGGTTCATAGTTGTAACGATGATAAATATTATTTTTAATTTGTAATCTTAAATCAAGTCTGCAATGTGACGTTTAATATATGATACGTTTTTTCTTCTTTCTTTCTTTCTTTCTTTTAAATGTTAAATCACTATAACGGAAATTAATTTTCAAATATAGCCCTCGTAATTTTTCTATGAATTATGGATATATTGTAGGAAAGGAATGACGTCATATTATAATAAAACCGAGCGAAATGCACTTTTGAGAATTCATTATCTCACTTGTAAGTAGTACGAGTGATCCGACTTCGATCGAATAGCGAGAGTCCTTAAAAATTCAATGAATCTCTCATTCTTTTGTAGGGCAAAGGTTTGAAAAATTATCTATATACGGTTGATGGCTCACCTAAGTACACTTTGCCATATCGAGGACTCGGATTCCTTCGTGAAATTGCACATTCTTGCGTCGAATCCAATGATATATTTATTGGCCTCAACGACCTTCTCGAACAGTTTGCCAACTGAAAGTATAAAAAAATTAATTAAGATTATCATTAAGGATAATTAAGATCTTTAAAATGATTTGAAACATTCCGTATTCCAAAACTTTTTTTTTTCTTTTTTTTATACTTCGCAGAATCCTCAGATCGACGAATTAAAAAGAAGTTCCCCAAAATTGCATCGAATAATATTAAATTCAAACGTCCCCGTTAATTTTTTGACGTCAAATAGAACCCCAGGGTTCGGCGGAGTACATTTTGGGAATCGTTGATAAAAAAAAAAAAAAAAAAAAAAAAAAAAAGAAAAAAAAACACAAGAAAAACAAAAAAAGAAATACAGATCATAAAAGATGTAAACGTGCGGATTAATAAATTTGAGAATATTAGTGGATGAAAAAAAGAAGAAAAAAATATATGTATATTTAAAAGACATGATTAATGTGGATATAAGTTGTAATCATAAAGACGTCAAAAATTTAACGAGAAATTTCAATTCGAAATCTTCTTAGTCTTACCTATTGGACCGAAATTGTTATTTGACAGATCAATCTCGAACGTTTCGACGTTTATATCCGTAGACTCCTTGAATATCTCAGCTATCGCATCTCCGTTGGCTGAGCTTAATTCACAACTGCTGACATTTAGAATCTCAACGTGCTTGTTTCTCAGTAATACTGTTAACGAATAAATAATAAATTTTCATTGTTGGATAAGTTGTCTGTTCGTCCGTGCGTGTGTGTACACGTTGTCAAATATTTCACATGCGTCGCGAGATCTTTCAAATGAATAAAACTCGAATTATCTTGTTTCGTTCTCTTTCTTTCTTTCTCAGATCAGTGATTTTCAATTTTGTCCTACTTTTTATTCTCTCTTTCTTTTTTTTTTTTTTTTTTTTTTTTTTTTTTTTTTTTTTTTTTTTTTTTCTCTCTGTTGATATTTAATAGGGAATATTATTATCTGTTTATACTTACATGCACAAATGTGAATACCACCGGCATCACCCAATGGATTCAATCTCAAATCGAGATGACTCAACATTGATTCCCTTTCTAACAAAACATAAACTATACCAGCTATACCCTCGGCCCCGATCATATTGTTGACCAAGCGAAGTACTTTCAATCGTCCGTGTAACGATACAAATTCAGCGACCGCTTGTGCACCCAAATCGAATAGCTTGCAATGTGAAAAATCCAATTCCTCAAGCTATTCCCATTCCCAAAGCAGAAAACAAATCGATAAGTTAAATTCAAGTCAATTTGTATATTACAATTTCTTTTTATTTTTCCTTTTTTTTTTTTTTCTTTTTTAGCCCCCTCTCCTTTTTTTGTTTTTTTTTTTTTATATACTTATCACATAGATCGTTTATCTAATGCTTCGCTAACATTTTTATTTCCTACGAGTTTCTGTAGAAGAACAGCAACTCTGGCTCGATCCAACTTGCTTCTTGTAAAACTAAATTTCTTCAGATTGTAACAAGTTTTCAATCCTTCGCCAAGATCCGAACAGTCTTTCACTGAAAATCTTTTCACATTTGATAAGATTAATCTATTGAAGAAGAAGAAAAAGAAAAGAAAAGAAAAGAAACAAAAATTATAACAACAAATATTTATTATCGCTTAATTGATAATTACTTACTCGAAATCTCTCCATTCGAAACCATCGTCCATATAGATCATGCCCATGTTCAAGGACATTTCAGTGAGGTACGGTAATTGCGGTAAGATTATCGACATTGGAATATGCTCAACCACATCGTCATTGTACAGATTATCATGATCGTCATCGTCTCTCACTGGTTTTCTAAAAATTAAATTCACAAAGATTGATTGCCTAGAAAACAATACTAATTTTTTTATTAGTTTATCTACGCTACAACTATATATATATATATATATATATATATATATATATATATATAATGAAAAAAAAATTATAGTATATAAAAAACAAAACAAAAAGGAAGAAAGAAAAATTATAGAAAACGCAAGATATCATTTTATATTTATAGTAAGAATAATAATTTTCAGAATCTTTTGTTCGTTTTAATTATGTTATTATTAAATAATATATATATATATATATTTATTTTTTTTTGTTACTTATTAATTAATAGATTAAATCATAATTATTTTGGATTCAGCTTAATTATGATGATTATTAAATTTTTTCTTTTTTCTTCTTCTCTTTTTTTTTTTTCTCTTCTTTAACACCACGTAATAGAGTAATGGCCTGAAATACTTGGAGCATAATTTCAACTTAGCTTCAAGTGCAAACACAGAGACGATTTTAGCCAAGAGGCCGAGAACGTGTATCTAATAATAATCTTTAGGAATATTGTGAGAAGGCGTTCAGTCGAAAAGATATATTATTCGTTGGCACCTTCGTTGCACTCACTTGGTAGGTTTTAGAGCACGCAACTTTAATACACGCACGTGTTCGCTCGAAAGTTCAACAATTTTCATACAATCATCTCTTTGCGATTCAAAGTAACTTGGCTCAAGATTTTCCAAATATTCGGCCAAATGACGTTCGCAGTATAATCGTCGCCATGATTTATCGTAATCATTTGGATTATTAAAGGACCATCTATTAGAGATCATATATGTATATATAAATATAAATGTTACAAATATATTATACTATATTAATATTTATATATTATTATATTATATATGATATAGTAAATAATATATAAACTCTGTAATATAAATATAAAAATAATATAAATTTATTTAATACACATAAACACACACATTATTTAAATATTTATTTAATAAATTATATGAATAGGAGAATAAAATAAAATAATATATAAAAAAAAAAGAAAAAAAAAAGAAGAAAAAAATAGAGAAAATGATCAACCTATTTTTGGCAGCACGTTCCCAATAATGTTCGTCATCTATCTTAGTAATAGTCAACTCAAAGGGAAGATCAGTGGGCAAGGTTTCTATAATAACATCTTGATCCATACAATTTGGCAATTCTTTCAGTACGGGATTATTTTCCCATGACGATACTATAACACGAAGAGCAAGTATCTTTAATTCCGGTACTATGTTATCATCCCAGTTGAAATTTTCCGAAATAAGTGTTCTCCGTTGTTCGTATGACAATGAAGAAGTCTCTGCCGAGCATCTGCATAAAATAGAAAAAAAAAAAAAAAAAAATAAGAAATGAAAACAAAAAAAATTTCTATCAAATAATAAATAGATTATACGGCTATGAATTTCATTAAAATGATCGAAATTCTCTTTCTCTTTTTTTCGAATAAATATGTACGAAGTTGTGAATTGATTTTTTTTTAATTTCTTTTTTTTTTATTTTCTATTTCTTTTTTTCTTTTTTTTTTTTTTTTTTTTTTTTTTTTGTTTTCTATTAAAGAACAAAAAAAAATGGATTTAGTCGACATGCGTAAAGAAGAACATTGGATCAATTACTTGTAAGCTTTGAAGATATTCTCGGTAATTGTATGCGGAATTCTCATTTCGAATGTCCCTTTCAGATAAGTATGATTCTCTTATCTGCAAAGAATTATTTATATTACCGTAATTAACGAGATTTATTTTCTCCTTTCTTTTTTCTTTTTTTTTCTTTTTTTCTTTTTCCTCTCCTAACATTTTCAAAAAGTCTTGACGGTGTAGAAAATGAAAATAAAAGATAGAAAAAAAAAAAAAAAAAAAAAAGGAAAAAAAGAAAAGGGAAAGGAAAAGAGAGGGATAGAAAAAAAGAGAAAGAAATGAGAGAAAATATGAAGTATGTAGGCAGACGGAGTACTTAAGGTGTATATATACATATGTAAGTATATTAACGAGAGTCGTGTCGCTGCCAATCGGAATCACGAAGGAGGAAAACTCGTTTGAGTGAGGCTTCGTCACCAATTAGCCTAACGAGAAAGGTGTACGGGTCGCTTAACTCTTGAGCGATATTCTTGGAGAATGAGAAAGAACGTAAGAGAGAGATAGAGAATGTAAATGAGGGTAGTAGGGGGTTTTAAAAGAGGCCTAGACGGATAAATTAAGTACAAAGAGAGAGAGAGAGAGATTGAGACAGAGAGAGAGAGAGAGAGAGAGAGAGAGAGAGAGAGAGGAAGAGGAAGTATAATAAGTTGTTCTTTTTTTATACTCTTTTTTTCGTGTTTACTTTCAGGAATGCCCGGAAGGTGTGGTTCACGAGGACTCCTTCAAGGACATATACGCAAAATTCTTCCCACATGGCAGTGAGTTCCAATTATATATGAGATACGATTTTTGCGTAAATTAGTTAATGGCGACCCCTCATGCGAATTGCAGACTCCAGCCTCTACGCTCACTACGTATTCAAGGCTTTCGACGTTAACTGTAACGGGGCCATCAGCTTTAGGGTAATTAACTGAGAATTAGAGAGAAAAAGAGAGAAAGAGAGAGAGAGAGAGAGTCACCATTTTATATTTATTTATTTATTTATTTATTTTAATAAGAATTTTTTTTTTTATTTCTTTTTTTACTTTAATCTTCCTTTGTTCTCAGTTTCACCAAACATTTGTATTCATATATGTGTGTTGAGATTAATTAACTCTGAATTATTCTATCTGCAGGATCTTTTGGTAACCCTATCGACCCTTTTGCGAGGTAGTATTTATGAGAAATTAAGATGGACCTTCAAATTGTACGACATAAACGGCGATGGTTGCATCACGAGAGGTGAATTAGGTGAAATGGTTACGGCCGTTCACGAGCTCATGGGTAGAAGACATCATGCCGAGGAAGAAAGAAAAGCCAGGGAACAATTGGACAGAGTCTTTAAAAAGTTGGATCTTAATCAAGACGGTGTTATCACTATCGAAGAATTTATTGAGAGTTGTCTCAAGGTACGAGATAATGTTGGGATATTGTTAGAATTATTAAAATGTTTATATTGTTCCGAGACAGCTTTTAGAGTTTGTAGATAGAAAAGAAGGAGATTGGCTATTGTGTAAAATCGAAGAAAT